TGTCAATTCAATTCTGAGAATGTTGTGAATGCATCAAATTCTGAAAAATTTATCTAATGTTGTGAATGTTCTGATTCCCAATTTCTACATTGTTTCTTGCTCTTTCCAACATGGACTCATGATTGCCACTTTAACTTTATTTGGAACTAAAAGTAAATATATAAGGTAACTTATGCAACGATCTGAAAGTCTGATGCCTATGGAGTGGTAGCGAAGTGACACTAAGAAACAAGAGAGAAATGTGCATGTGCATTTTTGGCTAAAAAATCAACAGAATACCCCTAATCTGCTTTTACCATTATCTTTTTGTCATTGGATGGAACTTTGAAAAATCAACAGATGATTAGATCGCTAGGATTTATATTGCCAAATTTAAATTCTGAGTTATAGTCTTGGACTAATTTCTGTGATATAAATTCGCCTGCAGCTTGATATTGAAAACAACTCCGGGCAGAAGGTGTGGCAAGAGGTTGAGTTTGTCTTTGGTAGGTACTTTCTAATGCATGTCAAGATTTTTGAGCTTTGTAATTAACTCCCTGGATTTAAATAATTTTTTTAAATTCATAAATTTGCATGATTTAATGCTTGTTTTGTTGTATGCAACATGTATGACATGTTATTGCTTACTTTCATGGTGCTTCATGCGCTTCTTTCCATTTGACAGGCTGGATATATGTACTGGAAATGGCACTGAAAGTGTATGCATATGGCTTTGCAAATTATTGGAGGGATGGTCAGAATCGCTTTGATTTTATTATTACATGGATAATAGGTAATTAGCCAAGTTAAATCATTGGTATTTTACCTAGATCTATTAAAGTAAAGCAACCAATTTTATTTTTCATATTTTTTGAAATTCTAATAATAATTATTATAAAACATCACAATGAGCTTTCAGAAAAGCAAATTTCAGGAATTATTTTGTTTCATGTTCTATATTTGACGACACCTTAATTTAATTACCGGTTAAACCAATTGTGAAAACTTGGTTGTCATTTGTGTCAACTGTCAATTCTTGAAGAAATTAAGCGGACTGCTTTAGAGTTTCCTTGGTGACTGATAATAGAGGATGGCATTGTTAGGAAATGAATTTTATTGATCTTATTCCAATTTTTAAATGTTGACTGTTTTTTTTATAGAATATAGGCCTCATTAAAAAAACCCCTTCATATCCTACATGTTATATAAGTAACATGAAGGACATAAGGAGGAAAAGAGCGCCTCTGAATTATATTAATCTGAAGCATAACATACAACCAATCCATAACCATAGTCTGCTTATAACATAAGACTTAACTACCTAAACACATACTGCCATAGTCTGCTTATAACATAAGACTTAACTACCTAAACACATACTGCAGCACTAAAACCATAGGAAGGAGGAAAAGAGCGCCTCATTAAATGTTGACTGTTGTAAAAGTTTTTAGGTAACCTGTAAAAGCTGAAGATATGAAATGACTTATATTATGATCAATATATTAAGGCATATGCTGCATATTATGATCGATAAATTAAGGAATATGCTGCATGTCATGTTCAATATATTAAGGAATACGCTGCTGTATTGATTTTCTCAACTGAAGTTAGCTGCTGTATAAATTTGCAAACAAGTAGCGTACAAGTTGTGGATAGTGCAAATGGCATGTGCACTACTGCATGTTTACGTTTGCAATATTTGTCCATTCAACTTGAAACGCTTCATTTGTTAATAGGCTACTGAATTTCGTTTTATTAAATTTGTGCTTGCAGTTATAGGAGAAACTATAACTTTGCAACTCCTGATGGACTTTACTTTTTCTCAAATGGAGAATGGTAAGGACAAAATATTTCAAAGTATGTATATTATTATTATATGCATCATTTTTAAGATTTTAAATAATCTCATTTGCGCCTATTCTTGTCTACAGGATTCGTTACCTTCTTCTTGCCAGAATGCTAAGATTGATAAGGCTCCTGATGCATGTCCAAAGTTACAGAGCTTTTGTTGCCACATTCTTAACCCTAATTCCAAGTCTAATGCCATATCTTGGGACTATATTTTGTATCCTATGCATCTATTGCTCAATTGGTGTACAGGTACTACGGATATTTTAATTCTACCGTCGTCTGCCTGCCTACCAGGATTTCAGATGCCACATTTTATTAAAGTTGCCTCAGTATATCAAACAACGTAGTTGTGAATTTTTTATCCTAAAGAAAAATGGTTTCCGATTCCTGGAATCCTAGAATTCATTGTGGATTATTATTCAGTCCAATCAATGATCTGATTATGTTACTAATGGAAATTATCACAATTTGTTCTAGATCTTGGCGGGATTGTCAATGCTGGGAATCCCAATCTAGATGCATCAGAGCTCACTGAAAATGAGTATCCTTTTTTGGCGTTTATAAGCCCGTCTTATATATGCCTTTGTAATAAATAGGCTGCACCAACAATCGTGGCAATTTACAGGATTAGGAAGTTTTGCATTTGGTTTCAGAGGTATGTTTAGAGCCAATTGCATGTTTTGAACTATATTAATATTCAGCGACTTTCCTTGACAACATCAGCTACTTGCTCTTCAATTTTAATGACTATCCAAACGGAATGGTCACACTTTTTAATTTGCTAGTGATGGGAAATTGGCAAGTATGGATGCAGGTATTGCTTTTGTGTCAAGATTTTTTTTTTCATTTTGTCTTCTTTCAACACAATTCTGTTTAGGACATGTAGAGGAGCATACTTGCTATTCATCATCCCGATGTATTCTTTGAATGGTCGATTAGGGTAGACTTAATCTATTTCACTTTTGGATATACTCCTCATTGCTGCTTGTAGCCTCTACTACAACACTTGCTGCATAAGTGCATATTTCTACATTAGAACTGTTAATGGGTTAGTTTAAAAGTTATTGGAACTCTCACATTATAGAAACTTTATCTTGGTGCAGTGTTGCTGTTTCTTTGCCTCGATAGTTAACTCATAATCTCTGAGAACTTCTAAGCATCTAAAATAATTCTGAAAACAAGTGTACCACCTTTTTTATATTCGAGATATTGTTTGTTTGGTAAGCTATGTACACATTAACATAAAATGAGGCACAGATTCAATATTCATGATCCATGCTTTTGTGGACAGTTCTGAAAAAAAAAAATACATACATAGCTAGTCTCCTTGATTTTATTCCTTTGTTGTCCTTACAACAAAAACATTTTGCATTCTTGCACCAAAAATTGTACAAGTAGGATGGTGGGCTAAGTAAGCCCAGAGGAGTTCATCACGCTGCGTAAAGGGCAGTAAAAAGAAATCCCGACTTCCTACACAACCTGACTACCTCCCGAGCGAACAAATAGGCCGCAAATTTGAGAATTATCCAAATGTTTGCCCACCTTTTGATAGAAGTCATCCTCCTAAATCCTTATTCAAGAACTGCTAGTCGCTCGATTGTTGGGAAAAGACTTTTGCCTAAGAGACAGGGATTTACGTTTAAAAAAGAAAGTGTAATTATATATGATATTTCTAGTTTTATTGCATTCTTTTGCACAAGTTCAATGGAATTTTGCTTGCTCCTGTATGTTATTTTCTTATGTTTCCTCTTGCTCTACTCAAATGATATACCCGTCCCTGGAGGCATGATTTTGTTTCTTTTTCCTTCTGAGTTGCTGTTACAGAGCTACAAGGAATTAACTGGAACTTCTTGGTCCCTTGTATATTTTATCAGCTTCTACCTAGTTACTGTTTTGTTGCTTTTGAATTTGGTAAGTCTTGAGAATATTTCTCATTTCCATTTAACGTTGCAGACACAATATAAAAAGGGGGAGAAAACTTATTTTTCTTTCTTCTGTAAATACAGGTTGTAGCTTTTGTCTTGGAGGCATTCTTCGCTGAAATGGATCTTGAGGCATCAGGGACTGGTGAAGAAGGTGATGACAAGGTCGGTACATTTTATAATCGCATTACTCTACCATGTATGATAGGGCACATTGTCATTCCGTTACCATGGATGTTATCCGACAAATTAGTGTTAATACATCCATTGAAAGGGATATAAATCTGATGTCCACTTTCATATTCCCAGGATGCTGGCTCAGGAAAAGGTCGAAGAAGACTCGCTGGGTATGTATTTGCTGTCTCGATATTTCTACATTTGTTCATTAACGCACTCAGTTTGTTCCATGTTTTAACTAAACTGGCATTTTGATTTCTCTTATCCCGTTCTGATGCACAGCACTAAGACTCGTAGTCAAAGAGTTGATGTTCTTCTACATCACATGTTGAGTGCGGAGCTGGATAGAAGCCACTCCTCATCCTCCAGTGCCTAGCTTGATTCGATATCTTCTGGTAAGTAAAATTTCTTTAACCAAAACTTTCAGGTGCAGTTCATAAATGATAAACCATATTCATTTTGGCTTGTTGAACTTTAGGTGTAAGACTTATTTGTTCAACTCGGTCTGTAATTCGTCGATGTACACACGAGTCTGCTTGCAAAGATTCTCTCTTGTTTTTCTTCTAAATATCCCCTTGCTTGAGTTTATGGTTCGCTTGTATATTGTCTCATGTTGGACTTTATACAATTATTAGCGACCAAAAAGATTCTAATGTGATAGATGATGCAGAGGTGTGTAACTTCTCAGATTGTAGTGATATAAATATTGTTTATATGATGATATAAATATTTTTTGATAAGAATGACAGGCCGCCTTAAAAAACCTCCTTCTTGATCAAAGAAGGAGGAAAAGAGTGCCTTGGAACTTTATTACTCCTCCGAAATTACATAAGATTTAACATAAACACCATACTGAAAAACACAACAGACTAAGCTACTCAACAGAACCAAAAACCTAAACTCAACGATAAAACGCACTGGAAACGACTAAACATCAACCAATTCCATCTTTGCTAAAACTATCAGCCTCCCATTCACACCCTTGGAATCAGTCTAATTGAGTGCACCCTGTCCGAGATAAAATGAATCTCTTTAACTAATGGGAGGATAAAAACAGGGGCCAAAGCTGGAACACCATCTTTAACCTCAACAGAGCCTATCAAGCACCGTCTTTATACGCTTGACACGCACAAGGATGTCAAGTGCACGGTGCGGAAATGACCGGTAACAAAGTCCTCAAAATGCTGTCGAGAAACCGAGCGATTCGATCAAATGTAAAAGGGTATAACAATAATGGCAGAAGAAATTGATGGATAGGCATATACCTTCGGTGGTTTTCTTAGTGTGTAGATCATGGTCTTTAATGATAGAATAACTTCCTCGTTGTACTTCCTGCACTTCCTCTCACCTTCCGCCCCAACATGAACACGTTCATACCCAGGTTCGTTAAAGAAAGGTGTGGCATTCAGAATAAGAGCTTGTATAGAAACCAATACTTGTAGCATGGTTGATTGCCCTGGAACCCACATCTCGTTCTGTTCTCCATGCCAGGTACCCAAAAGGCTAGACATACTTACCACAGTTGTATAAATTCGGATTAACCGAGGCCACCAGAGTAGTAATAAACCATCTGACAGAAATTACCATATATTCATTAAGCAACGTAAAATAAGTTTTTGGGGGAATGCACAGATAAACAGTGAACACCGGTGGCTCGTGGGGATATTTCGCAGGAATAAGCAATCAAAAACAAAAGGCCGTCATGGTATATGGAGTACCAGCAGGTCCTATAATGATAGCCCTTAAGAGATCCATTCTTCCTTCATAAACTCTCACATATATAGTTTCTGTAAAAAAATGGTTTGAGTCATTCAAATCACTGCAGCTGTTGTTTACACGTTATTCAGCGGGGAATGTTCGCATAATTTCAGATATGGCAATGGTTAACAATGAGTCATACTTAATTCCTTATCAAACACTATGACATGGCACCCATTTCAGAAAACTTTTTCATGAATCAGAACTCACCGGCTAAGTCCTTTTCAAGAATCTTCCACTCCTGTATTGCTTTGCCCACTCCTTTGGTTGCTATCAAGAGAAAGTTCAAAAATCATGTTATATTAAAAAACTCACAAATTTAGCTTGAAAGAAAAACAAGATGCTTACTTACCCCTCCTGATGAGTTCATATGCTGTAATGATGGTCCGAGAATCATCCACAACATCAAAATGTTTGAAACTGAGAAATTTTTGCATATCTCCATTTCCTCCTTTGGAATCAGACCCCGACTCTCTTGGGACCATTGAAGTATCGGTAGAAGTCGACTTCAGCTTGCTATCGGCCAAATTTGATGTCTTGGGGGAGGTTGGGACAGCCAGGGAAGGAGGCAGATTTCCAATTGGAGCAGAGTCTTTCAACCAAGGAATCAAAGCCTCGACCCCAGAGGAAGATCCACATTTTCAAAATGGGATTGCATAATTGAATAATCATCTTCATATAAGAAATCGTCATCGTCACCATAATCAGCATAGTCATCGTCACAATCCTCCTCCCCATCAACATAGGACAATCAGAGTTAGAACCATTCATATTATTCGAATTGATTAATGCCGAAGTAGAACTCTTGGCAGGATTGTTACTGTCCTCGGACCCTGCTATACTGACAGAATTTCCCTGATCATTAGCTGAAGCATCCTGGAAAAAAAAAGGTAAATTCAATTAAAGGCAAGCTGGTGAAATAAATAAAATGAATTTTCTATTTAAAAATGCAAACACGTACCTTAACATAGTTTTCCCACTTCTTGTCACAGCATATCTTAGTCTTTCCCTTGCTGTCCATGCCAGCTTTCTAAGAAAGCATCAAAATCTTAGTTGAATCATCAATTGTTCAATATCCATTGCATCAGACAGAAGAATCTAAACAAGAAGATTGGTTCCTCAACATATAGTTCAAGCAAATATTTAACTGAAACTGAAAAGGTTGCATATCTGAAGGGGGTCCAAATAGTGTAATACAATTATATAAAATTGGAAAAAAAATGACAGTGAAAGAACTTATCCTCAAATATGTTCTTTCTTTATAGATCGAAAAACAGAATGATAGCTTTTTTCAAAATTCTTGTGGAGTTTATAGGGCAAGAAAACGTTAATATTCCAAGAAATCACATGACAATATTTTACTCCACTACTTACACTTTAAAGGGCTTATCTTAAACTTTATTTGCTCTTTCTTTAAAAATTCTAGGGTTTTCTCCTTGCTAGGAGAGGGACACTTCCTTTCTTTTTGTATTTTTGTTTTCGTATTTAAGATTTAGTATTATTTCCTTCTTTTATTTTTCTTTTTATTTGTTCTTATAGCATATCTTTTCTTTTTTGGGTTGGATTTTACATTATTTTAACTAACTAATTCATTCCTAATTTGAACCATCGGATCGAATATCTCATATTGATAGTTGCTGACAATCACTTTAAATAGATCGTGTTTATATTGTGATAAAATAAATTATTAACTTGTTTTCATCGATATATTTATTTTTTATGTTAGTATTAATGATACTTACCATTTACTTGAGTTTTTTAACTTTATTTACATGATTATATTTTTATTATTTAATAATAGATATTTACTATTTAATGGTCTTATAAAAAAATAACATGTTAATATATTTAATTTTTTTATTATAATTTTATCATATTCTCTATATTTATTTAATAAAACTAACTCCTATTTAATAAAAAAACAAATTAAACTGAGCTAATTTTTCTAGTTCTTACAAGACAGAAACCCTAAGCTTTCACTGTTAATGTTGAAGAAAGGAAAAAGAGAACTCCGACCAAATCATTAAAAATACTAAATGCCAAATCAACATTTGCATGCAAGATACAACATGGCAGTTTTTTCTTTAGAATACACGAAGTTATGAATGAAACAGAACAAAACATGCTTTGGTTCAAAGAGAACAAATCATCTACGTGAAAACGATTTGGCAAATCGAAACAATCGAAATTAACCCATGGCTCCGCTTGCCGACAGAGAAACAAGAGAGGGAAGCGAAAGAAAGTATAACCTATCTTTTCTTTTCCACAGGTAGTAAAGACCCGTGGAGAGAATTTTCCCGGCAACCAAACAGAGACTTTAAAAAAACACATATAAAGAATTCCATACTAAACTCATTCAGTATAAGAGAGAGAGAAACACGCAGACAAAGAGAACTCCGATCAGAATCCCACAATCAAATCATAAGATCATTCATCAAAAAGCAACGAAAATCAAATTCCAAAGCAACACTATAATTGAGCCCTCACATATTAGTGTGCGTCTAATGATGGATGTGTTAGAAAACAGAGAATGTCAACAAAAATTTAAAAAATACTTACTTTTTTCTTAAAACATAAAACATAAATTGTTCTTATAATAGATAAACTTGATGCACCCTTTTAAATTTGGTTTATATCCAATTTAAGTTAACTTTTAATACTCAAAACTAATGATTAAACACCATGTATTCTAAGTTTACGACAAATTTTAGTTTGCACTTAATGTCAAACTAATGACTATGTTGACATATATATTATGAATGCTTGATTATAACTTTTTTGAAGTTTCACGATGAATTTAAAATCTATATCAAAATTGGAGGGTGTCTGATGAATTAACCCTAAATACAAACACAAATGTAAACATATTACGAGCACGAAGGCAGTAGCAAATACGGCAGTGTTGTGAATTGTGATTGAATTATCCAGATAATTAGGAATAAAGATATTAGTTAATTTATTTTTTTAATTAAAAAAACACATTTAATATTGGGTAAGGCAAAGAGAGCACCAGGTTAGGTAACACTTGCGTCGTACGGATGAAGGGAAGCATGAGACATGCTACCATGTGGCCGTGTCCATCTTTGTTACATTTGGTATTTAATGAATATAATAGATAGAAGAAAATAAAATTCACTAAATATAAAATTCAGGTGTTTGAGATTTTTATTATTATTCATAATTTTTATTTTTAATATTTTTAAAAAATAAAAAATTTATCTCTATAAAATAAATAAATAAAATAAAACTCACATTAAAATGACATTTAAGAACATAACGATATAATTATATTGCTAAATAAATATAAAATTTACATTAGAATTTCTCTCTAAACTGAATGAATCATTTAACAATAACATTTTCAATAATTATGAATAGTATATATATATAGTAATTTAATTTTTATTTTTAATATTTTATATTCAATATTTCTATATTTGTATAGTTTAAATTAAAAACTTAAAATTTAATTTTTTTTTTGAAAAAATCAAACAAGTCCTTGAATCTAAAAAAATAGTTTGATCCTCAAACTAGATAAAAAAAACTATTTAGCCCATCAAACACATCATCAACCACATCACCAGCTACCATGGATTATTACGTCAAGATCGTGAAGTATCACGTCAGCAACATGAAATGCCATACCGGCTCAACGATAGGAACCATTGATCAAATATTCATATTGTTTGAGGGACACAATAAGTGTAAAAAATCACGAGGGTTACATTTATTTTTTTAAGTACGATAACCTCACATACTCTTTTACCATTTGTTTTAGTCGGATTCAATTTTTAAGAGGATAAATTAACTTGATATTGTCTTTCATTTGTATAATTTAAACGGGATGAGCATCATACTCGTTTCCCACCTAAAAATAGACTTTTCTAAATTTATCTAATTAATTTTGTTGATAAAATCAAATAGATGATAAAGATCGATGACGGTTTATTTTTTTCAATTTTAGTGAAAAAATGTATGGTGAAAAACCAATCGTTGATTTAAATTAATACGCTTCACTATTTAGCGTGTATATCAACTGTAAGATCATAATTTTATCTAATAAGTTAACTGAATACAATCATATGACAATATTGTAATTCTCGTAGATCATATGAATCTGTCATAGAGATCATTTTAACTAATTGCGACTTCATAATAAATGTTTAGATATTGGATCATTCCTCTTGGAACATTCTATCACTTCCATTTGTGCTTTCCGGAGTTCCTAAGAATCGAAGATTTAAATTGTTCTTTTAGTATGGTACAATAATCTTTTGTCTATTTAAATATATGGAATCACAATTTATATTTGTTTTTATTATCTTCAAGTGATAATAACATAATAAGCGTAATGATTATTTTTTAAATAGTTAATGATAGTTGTTTATAGGTTAATTATTAAAAAAAATGAGATTTCATGTAAATTGAAATCATCGTCTATCATTTATGGCTAATATAATTGAATACTTATAAATTTACTTTTCTAAAAGAAAAATAATTGTATCGCGTGTTCTATGTTATTAAAGCATGACCCTCATTTGAAATTAGTTCTTAAATATTAAAATATTTAATTTTGTCTTTAAATTATGACTATCATTTTAAATTAGCCATCAAACTTTTAAATATTTTAATTTCATCCCGAAACTATAATCTTCATTCTAAATTAGTCCCTAAACCTTTTAAAATTTCAATTTCATCCCTATTCATTCAAATATATAATTAGTTTTAATCATAGTTTAACCTAAAATAAAGATTTTGAAAAACTTTGAACAAATGAAATGAGTTCGGAATCAGTCACGCGTAACATTCTTACTAGATTTTAAATTGATCCCTTATTAATTACATATTGTGTCTAATATTGAAAGTTATGAATTAAATTTAATTTTAAATCATAATTCCTTGAACATGCATGTAAATTTAAATCAATTAAGTGAATATTATTGGAAATAAAAGTATCTAAATGAATTTTCACGAAAACATTAACATTGTGATTCACTTATTTTTCTTTTCTCGATAATTTTTTCTGTTTTGAATAATTAAAGAGAGAGTATTCTAATAAATTTAGAAACTGTCTTCTCAATCAATCTAAATAAGAAAATTATTTTTCTTTCAAATTAAAAAAAAATGATATGTTACATTTATAATGATAACAAAATAAACAATAATGATGTTTCTTTTAATAATTCCTATCTAATGAAATTTTGTTCCTAATGGTATTGGACCCAAAACTGAAGGAAGAAGGAAGATGTCAAATAAGATTTTTTTTAATTTTTTTTTTATTAATTTAGGATAAATATAAGGTTATATATGTTCAAAGTCAAATAAGATTTTTTAATCACTTGCTCTAGAGATTGTTTTTTTAATCGAATAGGGAGAAATTAACAACTAAACAGTGGAGCGTCTGTAGTAGGGTAAACACGAGGCATCTTGCTCAAGAAGTCGTACCAGACCCGGAGGGGCGTCATAGAGAGTCATCGAGTGATGGTTAGATGAGGACAATTTAGCCATGCTATCCGCCACTGATTACCTTCACGTGGAACCTAGATTATTTCAGTAAACCAGCAACGTTGACGAAGCTTTGTAATCGAGCTAACCAACGGAAACCTGCTCCGATTAGCAAGGAGATCATTGACAAGCTTAACTGCTTCAGAGTTGTCAACCTGTACCTGCAACATCTTCAATCCCAGAGACCAAACCGTTTGCAAGCCATGGAAGATTCTCCACAGCTCTGCGTGAAGGATGAGTGAAACCCTAATATTCTTGCAAAAGCTGAGAATTCATGAACCATCATATGTGCGAACAACTCTACCGATAGAGCTCCTGTCATTAGCTGCATCCACAACAACGTCAGTATTTAAACAGAACCAGCAACCTGGAGGTTCTAACTAGGAGACTTCAAAGGTGGACCGACTTGGCCGAGGGATACCAGGCGAGCCAGATTTAACGAAGTGTCGAACCCAAACAATGCTACAGTGAAGGAGCTCGTTCAAAGGCCAACAGACGTCCGAGAAGACGAACTCATTCCCACGTTTCCATAATTGCCAGAGTAACGTCAGAAAGAGGATGTTCCAAGGAATATTTGTGGTTGGTAGGGTTGTCCTTGCCCTGAGGTTGTCAAGCA